GACATTTCTCGTCTCTTTCTGTAATCACCTGCAGATGTGTTTGTCTTATCGTTTAGGCATTTAATGAATAGAATTGAGAGAGAGAGAGAATTATAAAGACCTTTATTAAATTAAACACACTTTTAGAGCCAATTCTTATTACTATACAACAAATCATTTGTTTTAATAGGTTTAGACAAACTTACGTATGCATTGTGTATACGATTAGAAACATGAAAAAATTTCCACATTTAATATCCAGAATATATACAGAATCTAATTGACAGGAGAATTGTATGCATAAATAATGATGATAAATATCTAAATTATATTGATTTTAATGTTAATTACACGCTATTTATTCAGCATTGAAGATATACTTACGTATGAAAATTATCTTAACATTGTTTTCTGTCGACGTTTTTATTGATTGTGAAAATAGCAATGAATTTATAACTATTTTATATCATATCCATTAAATTTATAGATCATAAATAGATTTTGTGATATAATATAACATGATATTTATTACAATTATATCGAGAATATCTGACCTTTCTTTGTATACACATAATAAGAAGAAATAATTAATTTACATTAATGACTACAATGTAAATCAATGTAAAATATTCACACATTTATTTGTGTATCACATATGAACTTTTCCTGATAATTATAATTATTGTAATGGTTTTATACACATATCGAGTACATTGATGTTGACTTTTACCATTATAGTTGTGCTCGCATTTCCCATTTTATGTAATTTCCTTTTATGTGTCTTTAATTTGAATTATTTTTTTGTATTCACTGTAAAAATAGTTTTAAAAACTTATTTTCGAAATTTATTGAAGAAACATTATTGCACTATAATATTGTGAAATGAAACAATACAATTGCAATTCAGTATTTTAAATATTATATTTTATTAATGCTATTTCTCAAGAATAATTATTTATAGCATGTTTAAAATCTATAATATTCATGATTCATTATGACATCCTGTAGGCCATACAATGTATTTTATATTTATGATAATTATTACATTAGTAAAATTATCATAAATTAATATAAAATTTAAATATTAATTGGCAGTATATAAGCTATGACAAGTTATATTATAAATGATCATGATACAAATTAGCAATAATTTTTGCATATTGTTAATTAATAACTTTAAAAAGCATATATGATAAATAACCTATCAAGTTTTTATATTTAATTTTTGCATTAGAAGTAAGGATTACATGTTATGTATTTAATTTTATTCTTACTTAACATGATAAATCAATCAATTACTAGTATCATTCTAATTGCAGTTATCTCATATCATGTTCAAATAATCAGTGAAACAAACTGTATTGTTAATAAATAATACTTTCATTTTGGCAAACATGTTGTAGTAATGATAATGTGTATAAAATTGTGATTTATTGTATCTAGTTCAATTCTAAGTAAGCGAAAGTCGGTTACATTGAGAGACAAATTGTAAGTTAAAGGATCCAGTAATCAGAGGTAAGCCAAAAACTAATGTACAATGTCTATTAACCATTGACTATGAACAATCCTCAATTAATTATTCCTTTTTCAATTAATGACATTGTTGTTTTAATTTTTCTGAACAATTTATTTATAATGTAATTTAAGTAATATTTAATTATATTACAATTAGAATTACTAAATTCTCAAATAAGGTAATGCATAAATTTGAAAAAAATTGACCAAGGACATTGTAATACCGTAAATTACGGTAATAGTGTCAGATAATTAAGTTACAATTTATAAAATTATAATTTAAACATTTGAATGCATATCATATCAGCAGATGTCAGACATTATGGTTATAGATATTTGAGTGCAATTCTAGTTCTGAAAAACTGGTTTTATAACAAAAATACAGTAATATTTGCGAAATTATCTCAAATAATTGAATCAACTTTTTGACAATCGATATATTTTTTCTTATATATAAGACATGTGTTTATAAATGACATTATATTTACATTTCATAATTTTAATCAAATTTAGAAATTAATTGAAAACAAATTATTGGATTTATTATTACATATATTGTTAAATATATTTACAATTACTTTAATGTTTTTAACTATTAAACCATTGATCCCAAGGTCTTTGCCACTGCTCTCCACAGTTATTGTAATTATTAAATGTTTAAATACTTTTAAAAAAATTAAATTTGATATAAATTTGCACTAAAAATATTATTAAATATTTGCATCAGAGGAGAGGAATGTCATCAAAACATGAGATCAGGACAGCTTCGGCGCCGCAACCGGTCGGCACATACTCTCAGGCCATACGAGACGGCAATCGGGTGTATATCTCGGGTCAGGTAGGGATGGATCCGAAGACATCGAAGTTGGTGTCCGACGGGTTCGAAGCGCAAGCGGATCAGGCGTTCAGCAATCTTCGTGCGGTGGCCGACGCGTCGGGCGTATCGCTGGACGCGGCCGTCAAAGTCAACATTTTCATCACTGATGTGAATAACTTCGCCA